AGAACGTGGCAGGTAGGACTTGCTGGAGAAGATGACATTGCTTTCAACTGAAGCCCCAGTGTTGATTTCATTCATGAAGAAAGAGGATTCATAGTTGCGAGAAAACTTGAGGGCTTCGGTACTGAACTTTTTCTGGAGAAGTTCCTCGCCAATCATTTGACGAGCCCACTGTTTTTCTGGAGCAGCTGATTCCCATGTTGGTCATATGAGTCCAGATGAAGGAGCCCACCTGGTTGACACCTTCTGAAGTGAGACGGTCCTTGATGGTATTGATAAGGTCTGGAGTAGGACAGGTCATGAGAGCAAGGTAGGCAGCAATGCGAACCTCTGTGTCCTGAGTTTCATCTTGGAAAGCAGCCAGAAGGTGAGATCGGCACACATGGAGTGTGCCTCCATGCGTCAATAGCTGCCACTCGCACTTCCATCTCATTATCTTCAGTATAGCATCGCCTTAGGACTGAGTTGGCATTAACCCATCGGCCAGCATTGCCAAGTGCCTTGAGAGCAACGAGTACCCTGACTTTCTCTTCTTCATTCACAGTGCGACAGCCAGATCCAAGTTGTGTTTCAATTCGACGAATTACTTGCTGGACACTGGAATCGGCACCACAGTCTTCATTGATTTTGCAGAAGGTGTTGATGAGAGCAGAAGTTCCCAACATTGCTTTTTGGCTTGGGTTGTTCTCGAGTAAAGGCTGTAAAAAATATAGATAATGTGTAGGTAAAGTGGCAGAAAATATTTTCAATAAATGCCTTCTTAAAATGTGAATAAATGTCATTACGAGTATACATAAGCAACAATACATATAATATATACATAACTGTGTTTATAGATTATATCAATACTAACAGCAAGAGCAGTAAACATTTCTGCTGTTGGGTTCTTGAAGAAAGCCAGTGAAGTGAAGAACACATCAGCCTCAGATTCTGTCATGTCCCCATTGAGGAACATGTCTCTGACCACACCAAAAGATGCAGCTGTTCCCACAGTGGCATAGCGTCAACCAGGAACTTCCGTGTGTGAGTTTCTTTAGCATTGTTGTAAACAGTGTTGAGCTGAGGGTAATCCAGTTCCTTGAGTGATGACACGAGTTTGGCAAATAGTGAAGGAACCTCTGGAAGGATTTCATTGTTGGAAGCAATCTCCAGATTGCTCAAGATCTCCTCAACTGCTTCAAGCTGAGCTTCTGGTGCGAGTGTGTGCTCGAAAGCCAGTGTATTGCGCTTGAAGTCAAAGTCTGCAATGAGAACCATAATAGACATAAGAATGAGCAGTGTCGGTGTTCTTCATGTTTTGTGCAAGTCGATAGCAATGATGACCTGTAAAACAAATGGCACACAAAGATACACATACCTGTGATAGGAGTAAGTCGTTCCTGAGACATGAGAATCATGGTAGTCTTGGCAGTTGTAACAGCTCCTCCCTTTTCGCTGGAGAAGGGACGGAACACGTGGGTCTCCTCACATTCTGCCGTCTTCAGAAGGCCTTCCTCTACCCTTTGGTGACACTTGCTTGAGCTTTTAAAGATTGGGAGGCTCTGGACTGGAGAGTCACTGATGTATCCAGTTGAGGGATGAAGGTCAGGTCAGGTCGCTGAGTACATGTGGCTAAGTCCTTGACCTTATCAATGGTGACAACGCTGCCCTCTACTGTAGCATTGTAGTGAGTCATGCAAACACCAGAGATGTCTGTCTCCTTAATGTCCTGGAAGGTAGGCAACAGAATGAGGAAAAGATTGGTCACTCGGTCAATCATTCAATCCTGATGCAATCAGTGGAATCATACTGCAAGTAATCAATTATCATGGAATGTACCTCATCACCCTGATGGGCCATGGAGTTCTGGAAGGTAGAAAGGACACCTCTCTTGAAGTTAAGGACCCAGGCCGGCTCAGATGCTTCGCCGCAGATACTCTCCACTTGGCCATCTTGGAAGGAGAAGCGCAAGGGAGACTTGGTAACAGCAGCAGCGAACTCTGGTCCGTGAGACGATCCATCAAGATTGACGTCGGTCAACTGCAGTGGAAACCAGATACGATTAACAATTTCCAGCGGCTCTCCGCAGAAAACAGTATATGAATACTATTTTGTTCATTCCCATTTCAGAACTGCTTTAAGCAGAGTACCGACGTACCTTGAGGATGTACTCGCAGGGGGCAGAAACATCGATGTGGGCGTTGGCGGATGTGCAAGTGGGCGTCGTCCTCAAAGGTTTCCCAGGAGGGCGGTGGAGGTCGTCACCGAGTATTCGTAAACATAACTTTTGCCTGAGGAGATATATTCAACATTAGACAAACTCTTCATGGTATCCTTTGATGTATTCTTAGAGTACCTTTATAAGAAAATAATCTTTCATATATGAATAATTGAAAATGTGATCGACTTACCGCTTTCATATGCATAACTTTCCGCGTCATTGCAGTGCAGGGCGCAGGTTGATCTTTGGCCCGTTGGTCCTGAAGAAGAATGATCACTTAGACCGAAAAAGAATTTGCATTGCATATACAAATCATCCAATGCGTATTATGAAAACCAAAAATTATCTTCTGATAAAGAAATCTAGAGACAACCCTGGATTAATTGCAAGGGAATCATATAAATGATATTCGATGAGTGTTAATGAAAACTAATCAATATTCAAAGCATGTTAATGATAACTATTATCATCCTTCAAGGCGTTTTATGTAGCCATGAACATAATTTATTTAGAAGGCAAAATATCTCCATAGATTTTTCTCACTCTTTTTTCACATTCACTGTAATAAATATGAACTATTCGGTATGTCTTTGGGCATATTAGAACTGTTGCAACACAATGGTACTTTTGGGCTCTATTTATGCCTTGGAACTTTCGAGTGGCGTAATCTGCCGTATTAAACAAAAACTATAGTCTATCACTCCCTAAAATAGACACTCGAACCCAGCTCAGCTTAGCCTCCTTCTCATTCAACAATCAATACAACAGTTGTCAGAGACAGACGGATTCCTTTCCGCGTTCGTTTCACTTTCGAAGGAATCGTCGTTTGGGTTTTCTCGTATTCCTTAAAACAACGCTCGTCATGCGAGGCAAATATCCAGGAAAGCGCGTCTTGTTAGTCACACAGAAACTGTTATCACTCGTTAAGTAACTCCACGTGAGGCTTTGTTACCTGCCAGGGCGGACCCGGCGAGGGCGACAAAGAGCAGTGCGGTGCAGCGCATGGTGGCGACTCACGCTGTCGCAAGACAGGTCTAGTCGGAGCTCACACTGGCTGCCGTGCCTTGGCTGAGCGCGCTTTTATAGTCGCCTCCGAGGCTGAAGGTCGGCCTGCTTATCGTTGTCTTATCCAGTCCGTGGTATTGGAACCTTACGCAACGGTGATTTAGTGCTGTAGAATGTTACCAAGGTCCAGGGGGTAGATACCCGTATCGATCTTGTTATTCGTCTACATGCTCTTCAAGTCTCTTATCTGCTGTTATTATTTTCGTTGTTGTTGGTATAGGCTGTTGGGGTTGTGGTGGTGGTGGTGCGATCATTACTGTTATCACTGTTGTTTTCATTGCTATTATTACCATTGATATTATTATTATCATAATTGTTATCATCATTATCATTGTCACTATCATTATTACTGTCACATTATCGCTATCACTATCGGTATCAATGTCATTATTATAATTGATGTCTTCGTTATTATAATAAAAATAATAATAATTATTATTATTATTATTATTATCATTGTTATTTTCATTACTATCCTTATTATTATCAACATCACCATCGTCATATGTAATGATAATAATAATAGTAATGGCAATAGTGATAATAAAAATAGTATTAATGACAGTAATAATGATAATCAGAACAGTAATAATAATAATAATAACAATGGTAATAATAATAATAATAGTTATAGTAATGATAATGATAATAATGATAATAATAATAATAGTGATAATGATAATGATGATGATGCTTATGTAAATTATAACAATATTAATGGCAATCATAATGATAACAATATTAAAGAAAATGATATTTGTAACATAAAGATAATAATAGAAATAATAGTAATAATGATGATTATGATATTGATAATGATAATAATAATAATAATGGTTATAATAATTATGGGAATGAGAATAATTATCGTGATTATAGTAATGATGATAATGTTAATAACGATAATAATGATGGTAATAAACATTGTTATTTCTAGTATTTTCATTGTGATTGTTATTATTTTATTATTGCTATTGTTTATTTTATTATTGTTATCATTGTTATTATTACAATACTGTTATGATTATGATCATTATTATCATTATTATTATCATAACTTTTATTATTGACATTATCATTTTTATTATCAGTATCATCATTAGTATCATTATTATAATTAAAATATTATCATTAATTATGATCATCGCTGTTATTATTGTATTTTTTATTATTATTGTAGCGGGTCGTAGACCCAGTAGACTTTAGGTGGTTTGGTTGAGTCCGGGATCAACCGAGAATATGGATTTCTTTTGCTCAAGGAAAAATTCGTCTGCAGTGAACAGATGTAAGGTTCCAGGCCTACGGCGCGCTGCCACCACCCGTTTAGTAGGTTTGGGAACCGTGTGTGTCGTGTAAGTGGGTGTGGATGTTTTATCAGAGAAGGGTGGAAGGAAAATACAGAATGTGTGTGCTGAATGTTGGATGTGTAAGTCTGTAGATGTGAAAAGGGAGATAGCGTAGGCTGAGTGTCTGCGTATAGCAAAATTGATCTGTTCTTTTGATGTCAGCTTAATATTCTCTGATTTATCTAGCCTTTTTACAGCCTTTCAAGGGTTGCGAGATATCAGAGCAACCTGCTATGTGCTCTTTAGGAAATCCAAGTCCGAGAAAGATTTAGCATCTAACCTTGGTCAGAACAAGAACTTCAGTGGTAAGATTAATTTATATTCTGAGTTGAATTGAGTAAAAGCTCTACGATGGTACGATGTTTATTTAGAGAGCAAGTTACACTCACAAGGGAATTACAGGCATTTTTCTGTCATGGAAAAGTAGAAACAAGGTGTGTGCATCACCAATTTATCACCGCGGCGGTGATGCACGAGACACCAACACAAGATAAACTTACGAAAAAAATATTTTTTTTTTTCCTAAGTTGGCGTCCCAACTCCAGAAGTACTGTTACTTGGGGTGAGCATAAAAACATCCAGGTCCTGAAATTACGTTAAATTGTTTACATCCAACCCAAATGGATGTTGACTGTTAAAATTAAAAGCTAATGCCGAAGGATGCCTAGGAAGAGTGCTTGTGTACAAAAGAATCAAGAAATAAATTAATATAAAGGCTGAAAAAGTCAAGGAAGGGACTATTCACGAAGACTGTCCGAACGCCCACGAGGTCACACAGGAATCGGCCGAAACAACAACAAACGCCGACATAATTATCAAATCCCATGTGATGGCAAGATTAAAAATTCTCAAGAGATACGGATCCCAAAGACTGCCTGATCACCTACAAGGTCAGGCAGAAATCGAGAGACCTATATCGTATTACGTATTAATGACGTAAAAAAATATATACGGGAGGTATGAATCCTCAAGTATGAACGAAATAAAAGTAATAACTTAGTTGTAAAAAAATATATAATAACATGGGAAGTACGATCACAAAGGCTGCCTGATCACCCACAAGGTCAATCAGAAATCAACAAACACGCATAAAGCGGAAAAAAACATATCTATAACGATAAAGTACGTCAAGATACTAAAAAAGATCTTTATCTCAGGAGGTACGGATCCTCAGGCAAGAGCGAAAGAAAACTAAGCAATAACTTAGTTGCAAAAATGGTTACACTGGAGGTACGGATCCTCAAGCAGTGACGAAAGATAACTAAGTAATAACCTAATTATAAAAATGATTACACTGGAGGTACGGATCCTCAAGCAGTGTTCCTCTAAATCACTTGGACCTAATGCTCTCAAACAGTTGGAAATAAAAAGTACTGCTATGGGACTTCACAAAAGAGTGCATCCTGCAGATAATAATGTAGTATGTCACGCTGAAGTCCAAAAGAGACCAGTCGTCTCCTACACACGACCATCAAAATCACTGAGCTTGAGGAGATACTCAGCAATCCTGGCGTAAAGGGAGGTAAATCCAAGCGTGAAGTAAATCCAAACGAGAGCACAATACCGGTAAAATTCCAACCGCGAAGGACCAAAGTGCGGGACAGAAGTTAGGACCGATGTGATTTTCCTTTCCCCAACCACTAGTACATATATCCCGAAAGAAAACCCTAGGCCATGCCCCAGACATGGCGCGAGAGAAGAAAATAGGCAAATGAAGTGCCTGAAGACCAAGCCGATAGTTCGACAACCCAAACAACCAAGACGAAAGAAGGAAGGGGAAAAACAAAATAGAAAAACTGGGCAACGACCATCACCCCCTTCGGTGGTTATCGCTACAATTTGGAGGCGCCGACAAGGGGAAAGAACATTAGAAAAAGATAAATAAATGAAAGGATACGGAGAAAATCCGATAATAAACAGTTCTGGGAAAGACTGTGCATTTTGGCCCTAACATATTTACAATAATTAGGTTTAAAAATAAATACATATCCATTTTGGCTTGGCGACTTCAACGCCCTGCAAGTAGTGAGACTTGGTAAATGTTACGTTTATGGTTATAAAAATAACTAAGTTCACATTATCACCACAGTCATACAATTAACTGTCCTTCTTGAATAGTGGTTGGACTTCGTAAAAAAAAAAAAAAAAAAGTATAAATAAGAACGGCTGCGGGACTTAGTCGCAGGCGGCAAAAATAATAATAATAATAATAATAATAATAAAATAAAAAGTGTCTGCGGGATGTAACCGTACGTGGCATACGGCGGGAACTTCGTCCCTGGCGGCTCGTGTTGCGTTGGCCGAGGTTTATGGAGATGACATCATCCTTAGAGTCGGGACGTATACAGCCACACACTACAAATATTATTACCATTATTATTGTAATGAGTAGTATTGTTGTTATTATTATTATTATTATCATCATAATCATCCTCCTGATCATTATTATCATCATCATTAATTTTATGATCGTTATTATTACCATCGTTCTTGTTGCTGTTATTATCGTCATTATTGTTACTGTTATTATAGTTATTATTGTTACTATTATTATTATCAATATTGTTGCTGTTTTATTGTTATCATTTTTATTAGTATCATTATTATCATCGTTATTATAGTTACTACTGTGATACTTCCATCCACGACTATAATCTAGGGGATTTCTTATTGTTATATATATTCCAAACCCAGATGGGGTAGTGCAACCAAATTATTCATCAACATTGATTTAAAAATTAAAGTAGCCCAAGAGGTCAATGAGAGAATAATTAAACAAGAACAAGTTGATTATTCATCAAAAATATGTACTATACAAAAACATGAAATATTAGAAAATTAGGAAGATAACATCCATCACCAATTAAGTAGAAAAATAACATGTGAAGTACCCTAATAGCACCCTTGTAGGGTGAATATCATGTGAAGACATTGAGACATTCTTTCATTGTGGATATAAAATATGCAGACATTATATCGGAACAGAATAATTACAAGATATATGTTCGTGGTTCCTAGCCTCGCAATGTCAACACTGAACCACAACAACCTGTTGCGAAGAGTTTCATTTGTTTCGTTTATGTGTACCAACACACTTTGACCAACCTTTAATTATATATTTAAACCATCTTAAATATATAAGCAATCTTACTGGAACCCACTTAAAAGCAAACAAGGCTCCATGACGTAAATTTTCCGGCTTAAAAACAAAGGGAATTGCACACAACCGCCTTCCTCCCACGATGTCGGGCAACTTCAAAGCCGTTTTCCACAGATCCACTAAACTTAATTTCTATTCAATTATTATAATCTGAAGAAGAACTTTCTTGACTAATTATAATCATAGATATTTTAATATCACATTCAACAAAAATAGGTATCAAATAACGAGTTGCTAAAATATAGTAATTATTTAGTGTTTACTTAGATCGAAGGAAGTAAATGAAGAAAATGAATCAAAGGATAAACTTAAATAAAATCAATAAAATGGACAAAGGTATATCCATGACATCCCCCCTTTAAGTTTAAAACATCATTTCCAACTAACTTAAATGGTGTTTTAACATTAAGTCTCTTGACCTAAGTACCAGATCTGCTGAGTGTATCTGCAATACAGTTTTGCTTTCCTTTAATATGTCATATTTCAATATCATACCTTTGTAGT